GGGTCCTTGGGTTGTTGATGCTTGGTTGTTTTGGCCGGGGGTTCATCATGTTTGGTGTCTGGTGGCGGCCCTCCACTGTTCATTGCGCGCCACGGCTTCTGTGTCCTGGGTCGTGCTTTGGGTTGATCCTGTTTCCCTCTTTCCCTGTTTGCGAGTGCAGGTCTCCCGGGTCGTCCACAGGATTATTACGGCTAACCAGCCTGCGGTCTCTCCCCGTGTCCATGTTCGCAAGTTCGCAGCTCTTGCCGCTGTTTTTGGCAACATGTCCTGGGCTGTCATTCGGGCGAGGGGTTTTTGGCGGTTGAACAGGGCCCTGGCTGCTCGTTATCTCGTGTGTGTACCTGAGCATAGTCGGGCCTGTGTCGCTTTGGATCAGCAGTTGCAGCCGGTTGTCTCGACTCGAGTTGAGGAGTGAGCAGCAACCGCCTCCTGAGTAGGTCCTTCTTTCCTCTGTGGGGAGTTAGTTTTGGGGAGCCGAAGGGGCTCCCCCCAGAAAACCAGCGTTGAATGTAATGAAACGCCATTTTCTGGGTGAGTCCTAGAGGCTCCCCGGCATCCCTCCCTCCTTCTGGTCGGCGTTTCTTTTTTCACATTTTTTTACATTCAGCCTCAGAACTGAGGGTGGATAGCTGGCACAATGGTCTGGGGCTCCCCCTTCCCCCTCCTGGGGAGGGGGGAGCTGCGCGGACTGTGGCACGGCGACGTGTGACGTCATGATTGTTTGCTCGTGTATTTTAGGGGAGTTCTATCCACTTGTTCGGCTTATGGTAGCAATTTTCACCAGAATAGGGGTTTGTTTTGGGATGCTTACCTTTCTGGGTGCCTAACCCAGTCGATGGCAGACATAGAATGCTTCCAACCACAAGGGGGTTTTTATAAGCCATTGCTTCCCTTGCCTCTTCTGAAGGGGCCAGGTTCTGGCTCGTGGTCCCCGGTACGCCCATAGAATTCCGTACACATGACTGATGCCAAAGTCTGACATTAGCATATCAACCTAGTAAGCTCTAGGGAGCCTCCGGGACTCACCCAGAAAATGGCATTTCATTACATTCAACGCTGGTTTTTTCCAATATTTTCACTATTACACTTGTCAATGATACAGGTTTATAATTGAGGGGGTCTTCCCTGCTGCCACTTTTGTAGATTGGAACTATGTTAGCCTTTTTCCACACGTCTGCTATGACGCCTGTACACAGGGATGCCTGAAAGATCAGGTGAAGTGGAATGCTGAGCTCAGATACACATTCTCTCAGAACCCATGGTGAAACTCCATCTGGGCCAATTACTTTGTTCTTACTTAGCTCCTTTAGCATATTTTCCACTTCATGGTGATAGTGTAGTTTTGTTTGTCTGCAGCCATCTCCTTTTCTCGTGAAGAATGAGACTGCTGCTTTCCGGAGGGGTTCTTGGGTTGTTGATGCTTGGTTGGTCAGGCCGGGGTGCATCATGTGTGGTGTCTGGTTGCGGCCCTCCACCGCTATTTGCGGGCCACGGCTTCTGTGTCCGGGGACGCGCTTTGGGTTGATCCGGTTTCCCTTCTTCCCTGTTCGCAGGTACGTGTCTCTCAGGTCGTCCGCAGAGTTATTAAGTCTAGCCAGCTTGTGGTCTATCCCTGTGCCCATTATGTTCATAAGTTCGCTTCTCTTGCTGCTGTTTTTGGGAACATGTCCTGGACTGACATTTGGATACAGGGTTTTTGGCGGTCGAACAGGGTCCTGGCTGCACGCTACCTCATAAATGTTCCTGGGCCTAGTCAGGGCCTGTGTCGCTTTGGGTTGGTGGCTGCAGCCTGTCTCGACTTCAAGTTGAGGTGTGGAGCACCGCCCGCCTCCCGGGTAAGTCCCCTTCTTTATTTTCGTCTTTATTTATTTTATACTTTATTTTCTTTTATTGTGTATCATTACATTCATTGCTGGTTTTTGCTTTTTTAACATAAAAGTTCTTATATATATCATGCCATTGGTCCCAAGAAAGTCAGTGGTAAAGTTCAACCTAAGATAATAATTGTGAGGATGATGATAGAGGAAAAGCAAGAGATCATTCATAGCAAGACACTGTGATGTTTCACTTAAGCTATGTGTTACATCGTTGGGAAAAACAAGTGTCTCGAGACAGGTTTTCAGTGAGAAAAACAAGCAGTGAGCCACAAGCAGGTCCTAGTGGTATGCAGGCAAAACATATGAGAGAGAGTACCTCAGAAAAGTCATTACTGCCTGATGTTATAATGGAAGAGGACCTCCTTCCAAACACTAACACCTCTCCTCCTTCCCCCTCCCCCCCCCCTCACCATCTTCCATATGCCAACAAGAGTCCTCATTTAAGGTAAGATATACATACTGTATTGTAGCTAGTACAAAATGAGTGTTATTCGGTATAAAATGTGTTGAGTAAATATTTTTGGGGATGTGGAATGAATTAATTCAATTTACATTATTTCTTATGAGAAAATTAATTTTGGTTGACGAATTTTTGGTTGACGACGTGTCTCTGGGAACAGATTACGATCGTAAACGAAGGTACCACTGTATATACACATGTTATATATAAGTATCTGCATTGTTCACTGTAACAAACCACTAAGCTGGTATGGTGCATCAAAGCAGCATAGTGGCCACCAACACACCAGCCAGCTGATAATGCCACCTCCCTCCCTCCTCCCACCATACTGGCCACCAACACACCAGCCAGCTGATAACCACCTCCCTCCCTCCCTCCCTCCTCCCACCATACTGGCCACCAACACACCAGCCAGCTGATGATACCACCTCCCTCCCTCCCTCCCTCCTCCCACCATACTGGCCACCAACACACCAGCCAGCTGATAATGCCACCTCCCTCCCTCCCTCCCTCCTCCCACCATACTGGCCACCAACACACCAGCCAGCTGATAATGCCACCTCCCTCCCTCCCTCCTCCCACCATACTGGCCACCAACACACCAGCCAGCTGATAATGCCACCTCCCTCCCTCCCTCCTCCCACCATACTGGCCACCAACACACCAGCCAGCTGATGATACCACCTCCCTCCCTCCCTCCTCCCACCATACTGGCCACCAACACACCAGCCAGCTGATAATGCCACCTCCCTCCCTCCTCCCACCATACTGGCCACCAACACACCAGCCAGCTGATAATGCCACCTCCCTCCCTCCCTCCCTCCTCCCACCATACTGGCCACCAACACACCAGTCAGCTGATGATACCACCTCCCTCCCTCCCTCCTCCCACCATACTGGCCACCAACACACCAGTCAGCTGATGATACCACCTCCCTCCCTCCCTCCTCCCACCATACTGGCCACCAACACACCAGTCAGCTGATGATACCACCTCCCTCCCTCCCTCCTCCCACCATACTGGCCACCAACACACCAGCCAGCTGATAATGCCACCTCCCTCCCTCCCTCCCACCATACTGGCCACCAACACACCAGTCAGCTGATAATGCCACCTCCCTCCCTCCTCCCACCATACTGGCCACCAACACACCAGCCAGCTGATGATGCCACCTCCCTCCCTCCCTCCTCCCACCATACTATGCACATCAATAATTCTCACCACAAATGCTGCTGTTATCAGAATCCTGGTCACTAAATTCTGTAAATTAATAATTTTCCACAAGTGTATTTTGTAAAGGAACATGAGATGTTGTTTCAAGATTCTTAGATGGATCAAACAACGACAGTGTGCTGTGGCTGCCTGCCTAGTGCTGTGAACATCTTGAACAGCATTGTGTTTACTGATATCTGAACATTGTGTACAATCCTTATCACAATCAGGCTCTTCTGTAATGCTAGCATCGCTAAATAAATTAGTTTAGTTCATTTATTATGCACCCCATACCCATCTTGTGGGTGGTAGTGGAAAGGGTTACAGAGGCACATAATGGGCTCAGGGACTGAACCCCACAATTCATTTAGCTAAGCAAGTTACAATCTTGATGAGCTAGTTACAAAATTCAATATAAGTCATCACATCAACAATGGGTTCGAGATCGACCTCAAGTACAGGTTCTAAATTAAGCAACTGACATATGTGGAGAGCTAGTGTCAAAATTTATATGTTTGTCCTGCACACCGCCCCCCATCCAGTGGGCAGCGGTGGATAGGTTACAATCACTTAGTTACTACCTACAGTTAGCAAACTGGGGATATTTGGCTAAAATTTCTGGTAGCAGATCATTTTGAATGAAATATTGACACATCGCTGGAACATTGGTTATAGAATTGTCTCTAAATTCACGTATCTTTTCGCACTCCATCACATAGTGACGGAGGGTGTGCGAATAATTTTGTTGACACAGTTTACATTTGGTCAGGTCTACATCAGCAGATAATGAGAATTCCCAGAGATACTTGTAACCGAGTCTAAGCCGAACAGTAGTAACATCTAGAAGTCTGCTGATTTTATTGGATGATCCATAGATGTGTGGCTCCTCTTGCATGATAGTATGATGATAGATGGAATTACTGGTGTCAATTTCACTTTGCCTCAGATCTACAAGATCTTGTTGAAGTTCTCGGTGTACTGCTGCTCTCAGATTGCTCATTGACAATCCAAGGCTACACTCAACGGCTCCTTTAAAGGCAGATTCTTTGCTCACTCAGTACTGAGGCCTTCACACCTGGAAATGGTGCCCACAATTTTTTTTTTTTTTTACGTCTCTACTGGAACCCCGAGGAAGCTGATGTGAACCCCCATGTAGCCATGGGACTTTTAAATCTTACGCGGTACTTTAAAAAGTACATGTACAATATGTGCCATGCATGTTCATGTGCTGTGTGTGAACAAAATCGTATATATATATATATACAGTTATCGTCGCTCTAGGGTTAAACCAAAAAGAAAACGTGTTTAATTGGTTTCTAATTTTCTTCCAGAATATTATAGGACACTGCATGACAATTTATATTTACAAACTGTATCATAAAAACTAGAAAATGTAAGACATAAGTCTAAATAATAATGCACATGTAGTGTACAGTATATTATATCTTAGCATTTCAGGTATTAAGGAACGTCTGCTCTAGAAGAGCATGTGAGCGCTCATAAAATATAGGAAGACACTGGTGTTGGGAATGTCTAATGGCACTACACAAAGATCTCATCTAGCAACCCACAATTCGTTATGAATCAAAATATTTTTGATGTTCAGTGTATAACGGCGATACTAAGAAACACTAAGTAGTGTTAATGTCTAAACTTCCTCTTCATTTATATTTATTAATGGAATCATTAGAAAGGCAATGTGATACCAACTGTTATTGCTATATATATTTTTAAAATAATTTTTAACACTTGGTATATTAAAAGAGAAACCGTATCGGTGTTCAGGATGTGTAAAAAGATGTACAGTATATGACTTCTAAATAAGACATATGAGAGTTTATATAGGAAAAACTCATTATCAGAGAGCAATGAGTTCAAATTACCACATGGATAAATGTAAATTTACAACACACGTTGAAGTGCCTGCAGAAAGTACACCATTTCGGTGTACAAAGTGTGAGAAACGTTTTTCCAGAAAATCAAGTCTAATACATCATGAGAGGGTTCATGGACGAGATACACTGTATCAGTGCTCTGAGTGCCTCAAAATATTTTCGTCCAGATCAAATCTAAAAAGACATAAAAAAATTCATTCTGGGGAAAAGCCACATCAGTGTTCAGTGTGTTTAAAACGCTTTTCAGTCAAATCCAATCTAACAGAACATATGAAAATTCATTCAGGAGAGAAACCCTATCATTGCTCACAGTGTCGAAAAAACTTTCCACAGAAATCTGCTTTAATTAAACATATGCGTGTTCATACAGGAGAGAAACCATATCAATGTTCTGAATGTCTTAAGAAATTTTCACAAAAAACGAATCTAATACAACATGAGAGAGTTCATTCGGGAGAGAAACCTCATCAGTGTTTGATTTGTTCAAAATATTTTTTGCTTAAACGTACTCTAGAAACACACATGAAAATTCATTCAGGGGAGAAACCACATCAATGTAATATATGTCTTAAAAAGTTTTCAGTAAATTCTGATCTAGTAAAACACGAGAGGGTTCATTCAGGAGAAAAACCATTTCAATGCTCTGAATGTGTGAAAAGCTTTTCACAAAAATACAGTCTTGTCCTACATACGAGGGTTCACTCAGGAGAGAGACCCTACCAGTGTGCTGAGTGTCTAAAGAAATTTTCACTAAAATCTAATTTAATTAAACATTTAATTGTTCATACAGGAGAGAAACCATTTCAGTGTTCTCTCTGTCATAAATTATTTTCCTGTAAATCTAATTTAGTTAAACATATGAGAATGTTTCATACTCAAAAAATGAAAAAAAGTTAATGTACTTTTCAAGCTGTTCATATGAGAAAAAAAATGTTGTGCATATTACACTTGAGAGTTCAAAAGTAAAAGAAACTATATGTATTGTTCAGTTTATTTAAATAACTTTTCAATTAAATCAACTTTAGGAATCATTATTTGCTTGAGATATGTTGCTGACCTAATATATTGCAAACATTTCCAAGATCTGAATGAACTTTAATAGAATTGAAAAATAAACTGATTTTAACAAAATTCTAGTTAAATTTCTAGTTTACAAACTTTTAGCAAATTACAGAAAGAAAAAATTATAAGGAATGGAAAAATAATAAATTGGTTAGAAGATAATCATTTTCAAACTATTGTTGATCAGGAAAAGAATGGGAGTGTGAGTAAAGGACTGGCAGACATTATATGTGTATGGAGTGTGAGTACATGACTGGCAGATATTATACGTGCATAGTGTGAGAGTTGAGGATTGGCAGACATTATACGTGTATGGAGTGTGAGTAGAGGACTGGCAGACATTATATGTGTATAGAGTGTGAGTAGAGGACTGGCAGACATTATACTTGTTTGGAGTGTGAGTAGAGGACTGGCAGACATTATACGTGTGTGGAGTGTGAGTAGAGGACTGGCAGACATTATACTTGTTTGGAGCGTGAGTAGAGGACTGGCAGACATTATACGTGTATGGAGTGTGAGTAGAGGACTGGCAGACATTATACTTGTTTGGAGTGTGAGTAGAGGACTGGCAGACATTATACATGTATGGTGTGTGAGTAGAGGACTGGGAGACATTATACATGTATGGTGTGTGAGTAGAGGACTGGGAGACATTATACATGTATGGTGTGTGAGTAGAGGACTGGCAGACATTATACTTGTTTGGAGTGTGAGTAGAGGACTGGCAGACATTATACATGTATGGTGTGTGAGTAGAGGACTGGCAGACATTATACTTGTATGGTGTGTGAGTAGATGACTGGCAGACATTATACTTGTTTGGAGTGTGAGTAGAGGACTGGCAGACATTATACTTGTTTGGAGTGTGAGTAGAGGACTGGCAGACATTATACATGTATGGTGTGTGAGTAGAGGACTGGCAGACATTATACATGTATGGTGTGTGAGTAGAGGACTGGCAGACATTATACTTGTTTGGAGTGTGAGTAGAGGACTGGCAGACATTATACTTGTATGGTGTGTGAGTAGAGGACTGGCAGACATTATACTTGTTTGGAGTGTGAGTAGAGGACTGGCAGACATTATACTTGTTTGGAGTGTGAGTAGAGGACTGGCAGACATTATACATGTATGGTGTGTGAGTAGAGGACTGGCAGACATTATACATGTATGGTGTGTGAGTAGAGGACTGGCAGACATTATACTTGTTTGGAGTGTGAGTAGAGGACTGGCAGACATTATACTTGTATGGTGTGTGAGTAGAGGACTGGCAGACATTATACTTGTTTGGAGTGTGAGTAGAGGACTGGCAGACATTATACTTGTTTGGAGTGTGAGTAGAGGACTGGCAGACATTATACTTGTATGGAACTGGAGAACTATTGACAGAGATTCTGAAAATATTTGTTTGAAGAAAGTTGTTCATGTGATGCAGTTATTGGTATAATGAGCACTTTGATGTAAATGTAGATGTGTACAAAAGTTGTGTATTGTTCCTATGATTGTTGAATATATACTGTATATGTTTGCCACTATGAGGGAGGTCCAGTGTAAAAGCCTTGCCAAGATTGTGCAATATCCGGTGATTGTATATATGTGCTTTTGGCTCCGAGAGAGGCCTAAAGAGAGTGAATAGTGTGTTATTTTATGTATTTATATTATTTATTTTTTAGAATGAGTAGTAGAATGATTACAGTGGCTTGGGATTTTGGGGGAGCTGAAATGGCTCATGAAAACCCTATTTATTTTTAATTCTTTGCCAGTATCTCTAAAAATGTTACTTGTAATCATGGTACTTCGGTCTCTAGAACTAGATCCTAGTGCCCTTAGCCTTTAACAATAGCACAGCCCTTGTAGCTCAGTAAACTGGTCTCATGGTTGAGAGTACCGAGATATGAGGAAAGGCTTCTGTTGGTAGATCTTGACGTGCTGGAAGGTGTAAGAGACAGGGGCATCATGATTACTACATATATATATTACTGTAATTCTTGAAAACATTGAGAGAGTAGACAAACATAATGTTCAATAGTGGTAAGTTGGCTAGGATTTTAAGTAAAATGTCATTACAGCTGAGGCATTTGGACAGCTCTTAAACTTTTATTATACAACTTTAAAAAATTCATGGATTTATTCACATTCAAGTCCATAATGACAAATGGAAATTACGCAAGTGTAGTTACAGGTGAGAGCTACACTCGTGGTGTCCCATCTCCCCAGTACTCTTTCCCTTATAACATTTTGAAACCACTAATGGTTTTGGCCTCCAACACCTTTTCACTTAACTTTTTCCAACCGTCTGTGAGAATAAATCTGCTGGTAGTATTTGTCCGTGGTAAAAGTTACATTAATGAGTGATTTAGACTCCCAGTGACAGTTATAACCCAGCTAAAGTCCAGTAGAATCTGTTGGTTATTCCAAACAATAGTTATGTGACTTCTTGTATGATATAAGGGTAAACTGATTAAATGGTGTTAATGTAGCTTTTACTCGTGTCTGCAATTTTGTTGACGTTGTTGGCTTATTAATGTTTTCTACCTGCTTGTAGATACCCTTGAGGTATGATCAGTTCCTTCCTTAACCCCTGCATTGCATACACCTGTTATTGGCAAAAGCTTCAAAGAGTTAAGGACTTATTTTTGTTGTTTTATAAATGTTCAGGTAAAGTTAATGTCAAATGTTTCCAAACTAAACTATTTTCATTTCAAAACACAGAGTAATGAAAACATTAGAAAACATTAAAATATAGCCTAATTAAAAAAAAAAGTACAACTCTCAAAACGACATTTGTTGACCGGTGCCGTTGAGGGGTGAATCCCAGCACTAAGCAACTGTTTATAGCCGACATCCCCCAGTGCTTAGGAAAAAATAAAAATCCCAAATTTTGTCCTTTTAGTATTGTTAAAATGTGTTTCCTCATCATGGAAAAAAATTGTATGCAACATACTGTGGCCTTGGCAAAGCCTGGAGGTCACATAAATCATGAGCATTCATTCAACATTCACCCGGCACTGATCTGCTCAGCTTCCCCATGGGGTGGGAGTTACTGCAAAGAAGTTGTTTTATGTTTATTTCATGTCTTTGATTTGTTTTTCTCTGTTTTTTTTCTAGTAATATTATTCAGTAGTGTTTTATTTGAGAAATTCTATAATAAAATATGTGGAACATCGGAATGCTGAAATATACAGTATTTGCATCACTAATATTCATGCAAAGTTACATGCTTAGAACAAGAAAACATAGAGATTTTGCTGCTATAATGCTGTATACACACACACATCATATATCTCTACATTTTCATGCTCCGTTGCGAACCACTAAGGTCTAGTGACTGTAATAACCATGTAACTTGTTATCGGAGTTCAGCCTAGCTGGCTAATGCATGTTTTGTGTGAAATTATAACTTCAGGCACTGAATATATATATTTTCTTTATATTTAATATTACATAATTATTTATGTGGGGAGCCCTGTCGGCTCCCTGGAGCTGTTAGACTGATATAGGCTATATTAATCTGGGGCTTCAGTTATATGGAGTTCTCTGTTATATATCAGTTATATGACTCCCTCAGAGAGGCGCAGGGAGCAATGGTCTATGAAAACTTTACTCTCTGAGAGTGTATTCATGTCTGCTATCGACCGGGGTTAGGCACCCAGAAATGTAGGTGCTCCAAAACAAACCCCAACTGGTAGAAAATTGCAACACATGACCGAACAGAGCCCAAAAAACTTCCCCCAAGTGAAACAATGCAACAAGCAAAATGTCATCAAACCGTTACCCCAAACCGTTGCTCGTTACCCCCCCCCCCCAGAGAGGGAGAGGGGGACCTGGTATCAAGTAATTTTCCATCACCGTCCCTGCCCACCCCTACTGTTGCTAGACCTGCTTCAGCTCCTGGTCCAGTTTCCTCGCTGTGGTGCCGCTATTGCCTCTCGAAGACACCAGGTGTTTTTGTGTGGAGTGATGGGACAGATTTTGTTCCACAAATTCCTGTCTTTGATAATTTCAATGTTGGGATTACACACCTTTTCCCTGATACAGGTGCCGATATGTGTGAAATGGACTACTTTACTGCATATTTTGATGAGCCGCTCATGTACTGTATTGTTCAGGAAACGAACAAATATGTGGCTGATCTCATTGATGAGGAGGAGTTACCAGATTTTTCACGTTTACAGCGATGGAAAGATATGACTGTAGGTGAAATGTATATTTTTCTGGGGGGAGCCCCTATGGCTCCCCGGAGCTAGCTATCCATGGCTGATATGGATACCCTAACTAATTTGCATCAGTTGATGTGGGTGGAGTTCTAGCCTACCGGGGACCACGTGCCAGAATCTGGCCCCCCTCACAGAGGCACGGGGAGCAATGGCCCATAGAAATGCACATGTGATTTGGAGCATTTTATATCTGCCATTGACCAGGACAGGCATCCAGAAAGGTAAGCGCCACAAAACAAATCCCTATTCTGGTTAACAGCGAAAATTGACAACCGAGTGGACAGAACTGCCCCCCAAAAAAACGAGCAAACAAGCATGACGTCACACAAGCCGCGCCGCATGTCTGCGCAGCGCCCCCCTCCCCAGGAGGGGGGATGGGGGAGTCCCAGACCCCCGAGCCGGCGATCCTCGCCCCAGTTCCTCGGCTTATGGGATCGTGCATGGTCGTGTGGCTCCAGCTCTAGTCTTGTCTCAGTGCTGTAATTGTTTTCAGTGCTGCTCTTACGGTGGTCGTGTGAGCTGGGAGTAGTATTCTCAGGTACTTGGGCTGCATGTGCTTAGGGTCACCTTCCTTGAGTGCCCTGTAAGTACTGCCCTTGGGGCTTGGGGATGCCTTCCACAAGTCTTCTTGGGTTTACCTCTGTTGGCCTTTCGCTGCTTGGCGTTTGGCCACCCTGAGTGTTTGGGGTTTTTCTTCCTTTGTTTACCTTGGGGTTAGTGGTAGTTATTGCACTGGTGGGGTGCCGGGTATTGCGTAGCTAGTTTTCAACTATAACAGCGGCCGGCTCTGTTCCCTCTGGGTACATTGTCCACTTGCGTGGTTTTTCTTTTATTTTTGCCTGGTGGGGGGGGAGGTCCTGCCTTGTGTTTCCCTCCCCCTTATATTAGGGTCATTTGTGTGGTGGCAGCCCCTGCTTTGCCCTCACGAGTGAACACATCCCGTGGGTTCAGCTTTAGCAGTGTGCTTGGTAGTTTGGGGCGCCGGTTAACAGTGCCCTGCCTGGGATAACCCTTAGCAGACCCAGTCTAGGGGCCCTGGGAAATCCCGCGAGGGCTCTCGGGTCCGATGGAGGAGACCCTTGTGTCCCCTCTCTTTGTGCGAGTTTGCGGGTTGCTCTGTCCCCTTGTCTCAGAGTGACTCATTGTTTTTGCCTCCGTCATGCTGCCTGTTGGGTCGGTGACACATTAGACCCTGAGTCCTGCGAGCTGTGTCGCTTGTTCGTGACTCAATTCACCCAGTCTGCTGCTGATATACTGCAGGTGCAGGCAGCTCCCACGTTGCAGGGTAGATTTAGATTGTTGCAACGTGCTCGGGTTGTCGCTTCCCTGGACGCCCCGAGACTGCCCCGCTTTGTGTATAGGGACCCGGACTTGGGGGTGTTGGTCGCTTCGGCCTAGGTTCTGTCCGCGCCCCCTTATTCTTCCCCTTCGGTGGTTCATTCATTTGGGCCCCCCCCCCCCTGCTTCCAGCCCTAAGCGTCTGAGGGCTTCGGGGTCGGGGCGGGGTTTAGAGGTTTCTGAGACTCGGGCAGTTTCGGGGGTTGCCTCTGTCCGGGGTAGCTGCAGAGGCATTCGAGTCTGGTCCTCCGGCCAATGCTTCGGAGTCTGACCAGTGGGCCCCTTCTCTTCTGGCTCTTTTGGTTGCCCTGGCTTTTTTTTTTTGTGAGGCCAGGGCTTTGGAGGACGACTCAGCCCCGGGCCTGGTGTAGAGGCTCCTGGGGTTGGGGAGGAGCTGACTTGGGGGCCTTGGGCTCCATTGGACCCTACCTGGATTTTCCGTCCTTCTGAGCAGGGCTTACTGTTGCAAGGAGTGGAGTCTTCGCGTTTGGTGTTTTTAACTCGTGTTTATCACCATCTCTATGGTGAGGAGGTGGCTTCTTTGTTGGTTTCTCACCTGCAGGTTTCCTCTCGGTGGCAATATGAAGTTTCCTGGCGGTCCTTCCGGTTCTTTTGGCCCTTCATCATTGTTCCTCACTTTCGGTTCGGGTGGTGTTGTCCTTTCTCTCTTGGTTGTTCCAGGACCATCATCTGATGCCTAATACTGTTGCCTCGTATTGTGCGGCGCTGGCAGAGCCGCTGCAGCTTGCTTTCGGTATCGATGTTACTTCTGCGCCATTTCGCAAACTGTCTCATGCGTTGTTTCACCTCCGGCCTGCTCATGCGCCACCTGAGCCATCCTGGTCAATGGACAGAGTGCTCTCCTATCTTTCTTTTCCTCCTCGGTTTGTTGTGGCCCCTTTGGTTCAGGATTGTTTTGCTAAGGCTCTTTTTCTGTTGGCATTGGCCTCTGAGGGTCATGTGGCGGAGCTTCATGCTCTTCTTGGGCGCAGAGGTTTTTGCTCCTTTGGTCGTGGTCATAAATATGTTCATCTGCAGCCGTCTCCCTTTTTTCTGGCGAAGAATGAGACTGCTGCCTTCCAGAGGGGTCCTTGGGTTGTTGATGCTTGGTTGGTCAGGCCAGGGGTGCTTCATGTGTTGTGTCCGGTTACGGCCCTCCGCCTTTATCTGCGCGCTACGGCTTCTGTGTCCGGTGACGTGCTTTGGGTTGATCCGGTTTCCCTTCTTCCCTGTTCGCGGGTTTGGGTCTCTCAGGTAGTCTGCAGGGTTATTAAATCTAGCCAGCCTGCGGTCTCTCCCTGTGCCCATGACATTCGTAAGTTTGTTGCTCTTGCTGCCGTCTTTGGCAATATGTCTTGGGCTGACATTCAGGCGCGGGGTTTTTGGCAGTCGAACAGGGTCCTGGCTGCACGCTACCTTGTGAACGTTGCTGGGCCCAGTCGGGCCTGTGTTGCTTTAGGTCAGCGGATGCAGCCCGTTGTCTCGACTTTGAGTTGAGGAGTGGAGCACCGACCGCCTCCCGGGTAGGTTCCCCTTGTTTTCTTAAGTAGTCTTTGATGCAGTAGCTCCGGGGAGCCGTAGGGGCTCCCCCCTCAAGAAAACCAGCGTTGAATGTAATGAAACCCCATTTTTTGGGTGAGTCATGGCAACCCTCCCGCCCTCCGGTCGGCGGTTTTTCGCAATTTTTTATATCCCGCCTCAGAACTGGGGCGGGTATCGTCGGATCAGGGGTCTGAGGCTTTCCCTTACCCCTCCCAGGGAGGGTGGAGCAGCGCAGATATGCGGCGCGGCTCGTGTGACGTCGTTCTTGTTTGCTCGTTTTTCTATTGGGAAGTTCTGTCCACTCGGTTGTCGATTTTCGTTGTTAACCAGAATAGGGGGTTTGTTTTGTGGCGCTTACCTTGCTGGGTGCCTGTCCTGGTCGATGGCAGATATAGAATGCTCCAAATCACATGTGCATTTCTATGGGCCATTGCTCCCCGTGCCTCTGTGAGGGAAATCAGGTTCTGGCTTGTGATCCCCGGTTGGCTAGAACTCCACCCACATCGGCTGATGCAAAATAGTTAGGGTATCCATATCAGCCATGGATAGCTCCAGGAAGCCTCCGAGACTCGCTCAGAAAATTGCGTTTCATTACATTTAACGCTGGTTTTTGGCACTGTGTATGTTGATGAAACATTGTGTCAAACACATACTCGACCATTATTGGAGCAAAGACCATACTGTTCCAATACCGATGTTCGGCAGATATATGTCTCGAGACAGATTTTCGATAATCTTCAGGTGTCTTCATTTTGCAAATGATGAAGGCCAGAATGATGATGATATA